GAAGTTCAAGCAAAAGAAATGGTCATCAAGAACATCTTTTGAGGATTACAAAAGCATTTAGTTTACTTACTCATTAATTGCAATGCAATTGACACAAATTGTCTTTCCCACATCTTCTTTTCCGAGGACAATACTGTACTGAATATTCACAACTTGTTTTGCTAAATCTTTCCTTAACTCTTTCACTGCTGCAGGTAAATGCACCCCCTGTGCTGGGCCTTTTTTTTTTTTGAGGGAAAAAGGTGATTTTGAAATAATGCCAAAAAATACTAAAAGAGGTGATTTGACATTCTTTTTGAGTGTTGGGTGGAAAAGAGGCTGGCCTATGTGGGGAAAATTAAAATTTTTCAAAATTAGGTGGTGGTGTTCAACTTGAATTTTCCTTTTTTTTATAAATTCTGTAAAATATTTACTTTTTTTTTCAAGAAATTCATATGGAATGTTGTTTTTTTCATGTGATAATGAAGATACATAAAATGAACAAAAACATCTCTCTAAAATGTGTTTTTTGTATTAACAATAAGTCATTTACAGTATACCCCATATAAGTCAATTCGTAAATGTAATAACAATGATTGTCTTTCATGAAATAAAACTGCTTGACAGCAAAAAAAATCACCTTTATCATCGACAGATTCACTGCTAGAATCTACAGAAACTGTAGAAATTTGGAAACGAATTACATGAATTATTCATATCAAATTTTTCCTTGCTGTCTGTAGCACCAAAGACTGTTTCACAAATTTTTTGACATTTTATCACCTGTTGTGAGGCCGTTTTCCCACCATTTTACAGCCTAGACCACTGGTAAACACTATTTTCCAAGTGGAAATCATTGCTAGTTTATAGGGAAGAAAACAATACAGGGCGCGTGCACACCAGACTAATATTTAAAATATTATTTTCAAATACCCGGTACTACCGGATACGCGCAATTCAACAACATTTTTTCTACCAGGTATGCGCAGTGAAAGGGTTAATACAATGAACACAACTTGTCTTGCCCGTTCACTCTTTTCTCAGAACAATGCTAAATATTCCCAGGAATAATTACATAATTTGAAAGAAAAAAAAGCTTATTCATTCCCACCCTCTCTTTACCTGGAACAATATTAAATATTTAAAGGAATACTAATGTAATTTTTAAGATTGTTTATGGAAAGTTCAAGCAAAAAAATGGCCATCAAGAACATCTCTTAAAGAATATGAAAACATTTTCATTTTCTTTTTTTAAGCCATAAATGGGACTTTCCGATGCCTTCTTTACTAATTACCTTGAACATTATTAAATATTTCAAGGAATACTAACATAATTTGTAAGAGTGTTTATGGGAAGTTCAAACAAAAGAAATTGCCATCAAGAAAGAATATGAAAACCCTTTCCATCATTAGAAAGCCATTGAGACAACATGTTTTTCCTACACCCTCTTTACCTGAAACAACACTAAATATTTCCAGGAATACTTGCATAATTTGTTTTTAAGCCATAAATGTGTCTATCGGCTTTCTTTACTAGTATCAATGCCAAATATTCCTAGGAATACATACATAATTTGATTATGACAAATTTTCTCGAATAAAAACAAGAGCCATGTTTTTACACAAGCTTCTCTTCCCTATTTTTTAATTTTATCTTCAAGCCATAGAATCAACCCTTAAAATATTCACTGTAAAAATGATTGAATGTTTTAGAATGCAAAAAGTAATTTTAGGACAAATTTTCCTGAAAAAGTATGAGCCACCTGTTTACAAAACTTGTTTTTCCAACACGTTCTTTCCTAGTAACAATACTAAATATTTTGAGGAATACTTGCATAATATTCCCACCATACACCCAGGTTAACATTACTACCATCAATTACTTGTGGTGGAAGAGAATTGTTGACATGGAATGCACAATCTTCTTGCTTGTATTCAGTAATTTCCTTCACCTTTAGAATTTTTGTCACTAGTTCTGGTAATTTTATCCTCTTTACAAGTAACAATGCTAAGTATTCTCAGGAAAACTTACATAATTTGTAAGATTCTTTATTTTAATTTCATTAAGAAGTTTAAGAAAAAGAAGAAAACTTATTCATTTATTAAAGTGCTACTGACACAAGTTGATTTTCCAACACCCTCTTTTCTCGAAACAATGCTAAATATTGCCAGGAATAATTACATAATTTGTAAGAATGTAATTTCAATAAGAATTTTAAGAAAAAGAAGAAAATGTTTAAGAATGCAAGAAAGTAATTTTAGGACAAATTTTCCTGGAAAAAAGTAAGAGCCACTTGTTTTACCTACACCCTCTTTACAAATAACAATGCTAATTATTCTCAGGAAAACTTACATAATTTGTAAGATTCTTCATTTTAAACTTATTCATTTACGAAAGTGCCACTGACACAAGTTGTTTTTCCTGAACCCTCTTTACTAAGGAACAATTGGGCTTTAACGGCTCTTCATGAGGAGGAGCCAGCTGCACTGCAGGGGCTACAGCGGGAGGAACCGGCTGCACTGGCGCCTCATCTGACAAATTACTCTCTGCCCGGACGGACAAAACATCCATGTCCCGCACTGGACTAGAGTCCCGGGACGACTCCGATAAGGGACTATGCACAGGGGAACGTGACCGAGGCCTAACCGGTCGGTTCAGAGCGACTACGTCTTCAATTAGCTCTTTTAAAAATTGGACTTGCATCTGAGAAAAGGGCGCATCCTCACACGAATCCCTAGCGGCAGGTCGCGGTGGCCGTTGAATCAAAGTTAAATGACAATTTGTTTTTCCCACGCCCTCTTGACTAAGTAACAAAATGCTAAATATTCTGAGGAATACTTACATAATTTCTTAGATTGTTTATTGTAATTTCAATATTAAAGTACTTCAAGCATAGAAAAAATAGAAGGAAACAAAATTTCCATCTAGAACATATTTTAATATATTCATTCATTACAATGCCATTGACTTAACTTGTCTTCCCTACCCCCTCTTTTCCTGGAACAATACTAAATATTCCCAGGAATACTTGCATAATTTGTAAGATTGTGTATGGTAATTTCAGTAGGAAGTTCAAGCAAAAAAAATGGTCATCAAACAAATCTTTTAATGATTATAACAATATTTTGTTTACTTATTCATTCATTAGAATGGCGTTGACATAACTTGATTTACCCACCCCCTCTTTGCCTGGAACAATACTAAATATTCCCAGGACATGATTTGTAAGATTGTTTATGGTAATTTCAATAAGAAGTTCAAACAAAAGAAATGACATTTTTTTTAATGAATATACCTCTGCATTTTGTTTACTTATTCATTCTAATGAATGCAGAGGTATATCGTTTACTTCATTAGAATGCTATTGACACAATTTGTTTTGCTTTATCCTTCCTTTACAAGAACCAATACTAATTAACTATTGATTTTTCCATTGTTCATATTATAATAATTATAATGTAGGTGTATGTTAATATTTGGTAGCTTTAACAATATAACAATAATAATGTCTATATTAGTTCAGGGACTTTGAAAGTGCCAAATGACCGATATACAACTCTGATGCAATTTGGTGCCAAAAGCTATAAAATGGTGATACACATAACAACATGAACTCTGCCATGTAATCATTGACTTGATTTTAGCTTTTGCATGCGACAACATGGCCTCTGCATAATTAATTTTTACTCCAGTCTTTGGGTCAACGAAGTGTCGTGTACGGTTTACAGTACCAAGTTGGTAGTTTTGTCCTGGAATCGGTGCAATTTGATTGTTTGCTCTCCACATATCAGAATACACAATGAAACCTAAAGCAATCCATTCTCTTATAATTGGCAGCAATGTGGCAGCACCTCACGATTCCACTGGAACCAAAAGCCCTTTGTTAGTCACAGGCTTCAAGGGGAGGGAATCACACATGGTTAGAGTGTTGACTAGTTGCTGTATCGTCACCATCGCCTTGATCAATCAAGTCCGCTACCACTGGAGCCAGGGGCAAGATAGTGGTTTCTGGCGTATTTTTTGTCCTATATAATTTTCGTCTATGTGTAGGAAAACTATGTCAGAAGTATATGGCCAGTTTTGGAAAATGTTAAATGGGGCGTTGTCAATTAATAATCCGCCTCGACAGGTTCAGCCTTGGGTCGCCTTTGGCAGCAAATCTTTTTTTTTATTGTTTTTACTTCTAAAACCTTGTTTTGGTGAACAATTTCATATACTTCCTAAAATACTGTATAACCAGAATATTGGAATACAATATCTTTTAAAAATGAAACCTTGTTTTTTCTTCCATGGTATTTCAACTTCTATTACCAACTACTTTTTTTCACAAGAAACAAATACGTTTTGCACAGTTTTACTGCTAACTTGTGCTTGTCTTCCTAAGGATGTCTGTGACACCATTCGTTTTTCTCATATCCTTCATCCTCAAATGCACGTAGCCTAAATGTAATTATAATATAATTTGTCTACACGCCATTTCTGTAAAACTTCATCAATTACATGTTCAGAAGATGCATTGACGCAGCTTGACTTGCCCGTGCCTTCTTTAACAAGAAAAATACAATTTTATTATAATACTTTTAAAAATAGCATTTCTGCCACCTTTGTTAACAAGAAACATACAAATTTGAATAATTACTGTACTTCCTAAAAAATAGCATTAACACAGCTTGCTTTATCAAAGAGGTATAATATAATAATAATAATAATGTAGGTGTATGTTAATATTTGGTAGCTTTAACATATAACAATAATAATGTCTATATTAGTTCAGGGACTTTGAAAGTGTCAAATGACCGATATACAACTCTGATGCAATTTGGTGCCAAAAGCTATAAAATGGTGATACACATAACAACATGAACTCTGCCATGTAATCATTGACTTGATTTTAGCTTTTGCATGCGACAACATGGCCTCTGCATAATTAATTGTTACTCCAGTCTTTGGAATCGGTGCAATTTGATTGTTTGCTCTCCACATATCAGAATACACAATGAAACCTAAAGCAATCCATTCTCTTATAATTGGCAGCAATGTGGTAGCACCTCACGATTCTACTGGAACCAAAAGCCCTTTCTTAGTCACAGGCTTCAAGGGGAGGGAATCGCACATGGTTAGAGTGTCGACTAGTTGCTGTATCGTCACCATCGCCTTGATCAATCAAGTCCGCTACCACTGGAGCCAGGGGCAAGATAGTGGTTTCTGGCGTATTTTTTGTCCTATATAATTTTCGTCTATGTGTAGGAAAACTATGTCAGAAGTATATGGTCAGTTTTGGAAAATGTTAAATGGGGTGTTGTCAATTAAATGCCTCCACATGTTCAGCCTTGGGTCGCCTTTGGCAGCAAATCTCTTTTTTTATTGTTTTTACTTCTAAAAGCTCGTTTTGGTGAACAATTTAATATACTTCCTAAAATACTGTATAAACCAGATTATTGGAATACAATAGCTTTTAAAAATGAAACCTTGTTTTTTCTTCCATGGTATTTCAACTTCTGTTACCAACTACTTTTTTTCACAAGAAACAAATACGTTTTGCACAGTTTTACTGCTAACTTGTGCTTGTCTTCCTAAGGATGTCTTTGACACCATTCGTTTTTCTCATATCCTTCATTCACAAATGCACGTAGCCTAAATGTAATTATAATATAATTTGTCTACACACCATTTCTGTAAAACTTCATCAATTACATGTTCAGAAGATGCATTGACGCAGCTTGACTTGCCCGTGCCTTCTTTAACAAGAAAAATACAATTTTATTATAATACTTTTAAAAATAGCATTTCTGCCACCTTTGTTAACAAGAAACATACAAATTTGAATAATTACTGTACTTCCTAAAAAATAGCATTAACACAGCTTGCTTTATCAAAGAGGTAGTTTCTAACAATGTAACAACATTAGTTTACTTTATACTACATCCAATTATGAGATTTCAGCATGTGTTACCAATTTCTCCTTTTCACAAAAAACAAAATAAAATAAATTTTAAAATGTAAAACTCAATAATTTATTTAGCTCAATATATATGTGTGTATGTGTATGTATATGTGTGTGTATATATATATATAAAAAATTATATATATAATATATAATAATAATATATATATAATATTATACGTATAATTTATGTATTTCTAATATAAATTTTGTATAACTAAATTATAATATTTCAATTATTGCTAGCATCAATATGGATATATCTTAGGCTTAATATTACAATGTAATGCTTTAGTCACTTTCGTTTATATTATTTGTATTATCTTAGTACAGGTAGTCATTAGTTGGAGGTACAGTACACACCTATTTGGGACAGTGGTTTAGACTGTTGTGCTTTCCAGGCAGCTAACGACTATGGCCTATTTAATGTACTTGTTAATGTTATGTTTTTTTTTATTGTATTATATTTTGTATATTTTATCTTTTGCCTGAATAAATAATCTGATAATCTATCCTTAACATTTAGAGTTCAAAGGACTCTATTGGAAATAAGTCATTCATAGACTTTATGGGTTATACTTGGCTTTGATGCTTGTAGTCTTTCTTATGTGTGTTTTGTCGATTTTTTATGGACTCAGGATTTTACTGTGAAATTTTAAAATGTATGTTGTAATTTTGTATGTATAAAGCCGAATAAAGTAAAATCAAATCAAATCCTTTGTACTATATGCTAAATATTTAGTTTCAGCACAGAACATAAATAGCAAAAGAATGAGGTCTTCACGTAGTTTGCATTAACTTTGATTCAACGTCCGTCGTTTCTAGAATGGTGGAAAATTATTTCATGGAGTGGAGAAACTAATGAAAACAAACGAACCAGAGAGTTATCCAACCAATCCAAACGGCTCTGAACCAATCAAAGATATAGCACCGCCGCTCGGATGGAGGAAAATTGTTCTTCATGGACGCTCTCATGGAGCGTTCCATTGTATCGCGAAGTGCTCTATCTTTTGCTATTTATTATCTTTGGTTTCGGTTACTTTGTCCACACTCAAATATCTTTGAGAAGGAAAAAAAAAAACTGTTGTATGCCCATTTATAGTTATGAAATGCCTGTTGAATAGCTCAGTGGTTGAGATGCTTGCCTTCTGATCCCAGGGTCTGGGTTCAATTTCTGTCACAGTAGGACATTTTCTCACGACTAAAATCAATTCCTATACATAAGCCTCATTAAGAGACTTAGTTTATAAAGCATCATTCCATCCTGTAAGTGGCGAGTGTACTTGCTGTTGGATGTGATGGAAATAAAAAAATTATATGTGGGCATGTTGTGACATCATCATGACTATATTTTGGCATGTCAAAGGTCAAATACAATTTGATGGTGTGAAAAGGACTTAAGTTTTGTATTGACACAGATTGTTTCTAAGAAACATTCACAAGAAACGTAGATCGGTTGTGATATATTTGACTGTACAATAATGTTTAATACCAAATTGTTGAAGTACTGTAATTTATACAAATGAAACAATCAGTCTTGTAGTCTGGTTTCATTTCTTGCTTGCACTTAACCTTCTAACGATGACATTAGCACAACTTATTTTACCAGTCCCTTTAATCTATCACAGAATATATTTAAACATGAAACAAATATGTATGGTATTTATCCAATATGAAACCCCTACATTGTCATATTTTTCGAGGGTTTCGCCCCCTGGATCACATTCAGCATATATTTAGCGACATCTAAAAATATGATGTTCCCCCCCCGCCTAAAATTTTACCTTTCCCTCACTTTCCTCCTCCCCCAAAATTTTGAATCGCCCCAGATTTTGAACTCTGACGCCGCCACTGAATATCTTGTTTGCTGTTTTTAAACAAAATACTGTATATTTTCATTAAATTTCATTACAGAGGAAAATAAATGTTATTTTGTCTTCATTTTGTTATCATCTGTTTTATTTTCATGTTTAGTGTTTATCTAGATAATGTAAATAATTAAATAAGAATAATAATGCTTAATAACATTTATGGGGGATATTGCAGCAGAAGAACAGAACCTAGCAAAGAAAAGCCTGCTTGATGTGTACCGCTTGTTTGACAGTGTAGCTTATTCAATATGCTTATATTTGATATTTTTTTGTTACAATACGCATCAAAGTTATATCTCACACTTGAGGGCACCATCTGAGGGAGGGCTACAACTATATAAAATGTTGTATATTGTATCTACATTATATAAAAATCTTATAAAATAAAGTGCAATTTAAAGGGCAAAGATGATAACAATAAATACATAACGATAACAATAAATACATAAACCCAATACGCACTGTACATTATATAAAAATCTTATAAAATAAAGTACAATTTAAAGGGGGAAGATGGATGAAAATTAAATGAAAAATGAATTTTTAAAAAAATTGTTAATTTACAATTTAAAAGCAAGTACTGTAGTTTCTGGCGCTGCGCAGACAACCCAACAATGTACAAGTCGGTAACCTATGAAATCAATATAAATGTCGCTCCTGAAGTACTCCAATATGCAAATTGACTGGACCGTACTATGAGGATTTTAAGCTGAAGTTTCAGCAGTATTTTTTCAGTTTTGTTTGACACTGTGGCCTAATGTGTTTACACCATGTCTGGGTGTTCCAGATGATTGATTTATTAATTGATGATTGAATAAAATACGACATGATGATGAACATTGATAGTTAAATCCAGTATTAACTCATATAGGCTATACTCTAGTAGAAAGGGGTATCACCACTCGACGAGGGAATATTTTTATCAAACTTTTCAGATCAATTTTTGTTGTGTAGATTCCGAAAATGGAGGATGATCGGCCAGATTCGGTGGCGTTTCCGAGATCAAGAATAAATTGAAAACAAAATACGTAGGTTTTAGAATAACAAAACATACAAAGTAATTGTTAAAGGCGAATATTTAATAGAAAATTACAATTCATTCAATTATTAATTTAAACTACAACAATATTTTTAAAAGCAATTCAATAAAAATTCTATTTGATCAATAACATTAAAAAAAATTTAACAAAAATACAATTTAAGAGAAATTCATATAGACAAAAAGCGGAAAAAATCATTTATTAATAAATTACATTAAAATCAAATTCAATTAAATATTTACATTTCATTCAATAATAAATTTAGCTACAAACATGTAATTAATTAGCAATTCCTAAAAAGATTTACAAATCATTCAATAACCAATTACAAAAAATATATTATACAGATCAATTATTTTACCTAACTACAAAAAATCCCCAGAATAATAATTCCAAATTGCAATAGAATTGAACAATTTAAGAATAATGACAATCCAATCATTCATTTAAATTGCAATCTATAATGGGATTAAATTACTTAACAAAAACAATTTAATCGATTTTTACTAAAGTAAAAAAAAAACAATTAAATAAGAAAATTGTTTAGCTTGTATTCCCCAATCGAGATCATGGGACTAGTAGTACTACTACTACCTAGACATAGGGCCTATGCATTATTTTACATTTTGTGAAGTTGAGAGCCATAAATTTCGCCTACTTACCCCGGCATATTATCTTCCCAAATCATAACCAAAGTACCGGCAAATCGTAAACAAGCGAATCCAGAATTGTTCAAACGAACCTGGGAGACATATAGATTCGTTGATTACACGAATGTACATATTCGATTTAAAGTTTTTCATTCGATATTTTTCAGGGCTACAATAATAATATAAATAAAAATGATTAGCTGTATAAAGTACATCCCGCCTGTATCTTGAAAAACATGACGTGGCGTTATCAAGCTTTTCAAATAAGATTACATCGTGTGAGTGCCCTTCTTCGATGCGACTCAACTAATTATTATATTATACATCCCTTCTCGGTTTAACAATTTCACACCTCTTTCTTATAATAAGATATGTGTGACTCAGATTACTCCCGTTTATTAATTTAAACTATTTCATTTTCATTAACATACCTGTCCACCTTGAGACATTTCCCAGAGTAAGATCGGGTGACACTTAATGTGTGCCGACAGCACGAACAGTGGCAGGCTGTGGACCATTGGCTCGCCAAGGGCCCCCGGTTGGGGTCCAGGTACGAAAGGCCCCTGGACGCTTTGGCTTAAATGGCATATCTAATCGATGATAGTGAGTTTATAATGATCTCAGATACATTGAAAGATACTCTCTAAATGCAAAAGAGTGAAATCCCACTCTAATGGAGTGAATTTTCACTCTTCTTAAGAGTGCCTGTGTGACCCACTCTTCGAAGAGTGCCTACAGGGCCCACTCTTAAAGGAGTGAATTTCGAGTGAAATCTTTCACTCTTTTAAAGAGTGAATTTCACACCTTGAAGAATAGCGAACGCTTTATACGTAGACTACACCCTTTGCTTAACAATGGGCTCAGAGCTTCAAAAGAGCTTTCTTTGTTTTTGTAGGTATCTTTGATCATTAGAGTAAGAATGCTTTGAGCTTTTGTTTAAATCACTGCTATGTCACCTACTAGAGATAAATGTTTTGATTGGTTAAACACTTTTGGTACTAGTGCATATAAGCTTGCTAATATGGATAATTTTTTCATTCCTGATGATGACATAATTAATGTCGAAATATTGAATCCCAACACGATGGCG